TCCTCTAAGCTTAGTTTAAAAGCGGTATTGGTACACAACGGTAATACATATCCCTATGTACCTATAGCGCACGCAGTTCATATGAAGGAAAATATGGGAGTTCTGGTAGAGCATATCCGTTATAATGAATATGGATGGGCCATATGTGCAGATTCAAAGATAATAGCCATTCCTCTTAGAATGCAACTGGGATATACCAAATATTGCTGTTTTTTTTGTGAATGTGACAGTCGTGCTCGAGATCGCCATTATGAACAGAAGGAATGGTCAGGAATTAACTCTGGGCCTCAAAAGCAGTGATCATAAACCACTAGTTGATCCCAAAAACGTGTTGCTTCCACCTTTTCATATTAAGATGGGACTGATGACAAATTTTGTGAAAGCTATGAATCGAAATGGAAGAGGATTTCTGCATTTAAAACAAACATTTCCGAGACTTAGTGAGGCAAAAATACGGAAAATCATGAAGGATGATGTATTTGGCAGTGCTCTAAATGAAACTGAATTACGAGCTTGGTATACTTTTGAACCAGTAACTGCAAATTTTTTAGGCAATGTGAAGGCGGACAATCATAAAGATATTGTGAGTGAACTAATTTGATGCTTATAAAGGAATGGGATGTAACATGTCTCTATAAATTCACTTTTCTCTTTCTTCTGGATTTTTTTCCGGAAAATTTAGGTGCGGTAAGTGATGAACATGGTGAACGGTTTCACCAAGGCATTTCTGCTATGGCAAAATGGTATCAAGGCAAATGGAGTGTCAATTTGCTTGCTGATTATTGCTGGACATTGTTAAGAGATACTTCAGGAGCAATATATCGCCGTAAAAAATCGACAACAACATTCTGAGATTAATGTTTATTCGAGTGTTTGTTAGTACTATTACACACATATCCTTATATTTTACGAGTATAAGCAGCAAATAAAATGCGTTATTTCAAGAAAATCGTGGGTGATAGAAAAAATTAAATGCTATCTCCAGCTTGTTGGGTACGTTTTACATAATAACCACCTTGTTTTGTCCATGTCACAAAAAATATTTAAATTTTGTTTACCAGTGTTATTAGACCGTGATGATAATTAACCCTGCAAAACGTTTACCATGGTACACGTACGAAGGCTTTACAAATATAGGCTACACAAATATTTTAACGCCTAAACCTAAACTTATCTGGATAATGGTCCTCGTAAAGTTACAGCTCTAGGCGTAGCTGTGATGTTCTCAGCTCTCAAAAACTCAGATCAAAAACCAGTGATCAGTAGTGAGCAGTGACGTGAGGAACGTCACAAGGTAGGGGGTGCTTGCCTCATTGCCAAAATTTACGGTATAAAAAAACCCTAGAGAGAGATACTGGTTGAAAATCTACTCTCTATTCTCTATCTGAGACAGAACTACTCATTTAAAACACTCAAACCTATCTATCTACATTATCTTTCACAAGAAATTTAAGGCAATGGTAAGAAAACATAAAAATGTACTAAAGTGGTATACCCTCAGAAATTTATCCTTGTTCTAAATCATGATCAATGTAATGTAGTAAGCCCAAAAGACGAAGACATGTAGCCACTACCCTATATTTAAATACGTAAAATGCCAAACAAAATCAAGAACATACTAAGAATTTTAGTCAGCAATAATGAATATCAATATCCACAAAATACCCAATTCCCAACAAAATCGGCTGCAAAACAGCTACAAGGCAGCTACAAAACAAAGCTGGAGCAGATATTGAACAATCTTCTCTAGGACAAGCATTAATGGACGTAGTCCAATGGTGTACAGAAGAGAACCGTTGGCGGTTAAAGTCCCGTTAGAAAATGGACGGGTAGTACCCAAACCAAAACAACTACACGTGAGGTGCAAAATAAAAGGATACTACTCCATAAACTGATGTTTGGGGGTTAATATCCCAAAATCTGGAAGTTAACAAAAAACGACCACACCGCAATCTCAGCAGGAAAGTAAAATGACCCAGAACACCTAACCCCCTAAAAGAAGGTTCAATGAGTGGCCCTGAAGAAGAAACTTTCGACATAAAATCAAAAGGACCGGAGAAAAGCCGGTAAAGAGGGTATCTTGATAGTAAAGCAAATTTTAACGTAAAGTATCTTGATAGGAAGGTGAACATTCATATACGGCTAGTACGTACGGAAATCACAAGGTGGTGCGCTGGTTGATATAATATTAGTGCCCAAGAGATTTCAACACAATATTGAATCGCTGAGAAAGAAAGTGTGATATTATAAAATCAATAAATTATGAAATTTTCCAAAAGAAAATCATTAAAGGAGGTTTGGTCTATGAATCGGCACTTTACTATTAAAGAGATGTTCAAATTACTAGTTAATGATCAAAACAGTAAAAAAGGTTACGTGATTTTGGCACGTGATAGTGCACCTAAAATCGCCACCGTGTAATCCCTTGGATAAATCTTCCGCTTTTGTTTATAAAACTGGACCACTTTTCTATTCCTCGCACATCAAACCATCGTGCTTGATTCACATCTGGACGTATGGGATTTCTAATTTTCTTAATCTACAGCGATATATATTCACTTGCATGCTTGATTTTTTCACAATTGCACCAAATTGTAGAATTGTTTTTGCCATATTTCCCCTTCTCGCAATTTCCAATTTGCGGATGCCACTCTCGATACTTTTAATGATGTCTATCTTTTCTTTCAAACTCATAGCTTTCCGCGTATCTGTTATTTTAACAAAACAATAAATACACCGCACGGTAGCCTAGTTCAAATTTGCTTAAACTTCATTAGGTTTTCTGGATCTTCTGTATAAAAAAGTCCTGTGGTAACTTTTCTCTTAATTTTCGAGTTATAAACGATTTAATGCATGAAAAGCTCTTAAACATGATTGTACTCAATGCTTAATGCTTAAGAACTCGGTTAAAAATTATAATTTTTGATATGGCGAGGTATCAAAAATCTATATTAAAGTTTAAGCCTTGCTCTATAGGATCCTGAAGAGAATTTTTGAGATTAGTTCATATCAATGAAATTTTTAACCTTGTCTGTTAGGCCAAACTGATTTTAGCAGACTGTACCTTGAAGGCTCTGGCAGACCTGAAAAATAAAATATAATGGTTCAACATTTTCACATATTCTGCAGCGCAACAAGTATTGATTAATCAAAAGCAGCCTATGGTAGCACGACACGGATCACAGTTATGAAAATCGACGAATTAGAAAATGTTTTGGAAAACGGGATTTATAAAAATATTCTGTCGTGCTGCACCACTTATTTTGCGGCTTACTGAGACTATGATACAAGAGCTTAGGTCCTATGGATCACTGTGACAACCACCGATAACTTGACTTGACTTAGGTGTAATTGCGTATACAAGTGGCAATAAAATGCAAAGTCTTAGCATACACACTTGTGTTGTAAGCTTCTTAGAAGGAAGATATTCTAATAACGGTATTTTATCGATTCCAGGTAAGTACTGACGTTATTATGAAAAGCCATTTGTCTGGAAGACTAATAGACAGACCAATATGAGAAATAACCCGTGCAGTAATCGGTATGGTCACGTCGTGCATGCAGACCGATGTTTTAGCAGTAAATTTTGCCACGAACCAGTGCTTAACCTCCATTACAACTATTTTTGCGTACGTGAAACCATAAACCGGGCTCTATTTAGTCCTACAAGTTAATAAATAATGTCTGTGGTCTGATTTTACTGCTCATTTAAACGGTAACTGGTAATAGCGTTCCAGAGAACCGGGGATGCGGCAGTAAACAAAATGTTTAAGTTTACGATTTGTTCTATTGGAGAACAGTTATTAGTGAAGTAATGCGTTCTAAGAAGATTCGGTGTTCTTACAAAGCTGGGTGGTCCTCCATATAGACATTTTTCATAGAAGTCCGAAACTGAGCGCTCAAAATATATGTTACCCTATTAAAATTATTCTAAAGCTTCGAATATAATCAATATAATGCCCGTAGATGTCCCTAAAACATCAGCAAGCTTCAGCTCCAAACAATTCAAAGCAGCAGATTAAAAAAAAACATGTTTCTGAGATCAAAGGGCAAACCATAAGAAATATTGAAGAAAGGTCTCTTTGTTGCTTTAGATTCTTTGGATGGCATTTTTTCCTTGAACGATTATTTAGAATCTTAGAAGCTGGATAGTGGGATATGATTCATAACTGCAAACAGATAACCTAGCTTCTTCTCAGCTAATGACGAGACGTGTTCTCAGTTATGAGCCGACAAACCGAAACGGGTGGCAAAATATACAAATACAACATAACAGCATTAACTGCTATAACAGTTGTGTTAGTCCTACAGACAAACTACTGGAAATGACAGACTTTACGATTATTATATGTCCTTCCGAAGTGCCCGTCGGCCTGTCACCTTTCGTATTCCGAGAAGTTGTGGTGATTTGTGAGCCTGGGTGGTCTGTGCCACCATCGTTTTGCGCCTGGTCTAATTTCGTTAACGTACGTGTGGATTGCCAGGAGGAATTCTTGTTGGGTAACGATGCAATCTTTTAATGACGGCTATTTGGTGTAAGTGACGAATAGTTGATGTTCATTAGTAACCAGAATCCGGGTCAATAAGCCGGATATGACAGGACCCAAAAAAAACAAGATTACTCTCCACACAACAATGAGCCGTACTCATAAAACAAAGGATATCCTTGTACTTGCAAATTTTGAAGAAAATCCTCCAGATGGTATTTATAATAATTTGAAGTAAATGATTTTGCTTTTTGAGTATAAGTATATCCTTCAAAGCAGTGACATAAGTAAAAGGATATTCATAATCTTCACCTTATATACGTACTTGGCATAGGAAGCATATCCTTCAAAAATTCTGAGTGTGGTCAGTAGCACCAACCTCGTTTACCTCCAGTTGGTCGTGACTTCAAAAAATTATATCGGTTCGACGAAGCAAATGTACAATGGCTTGCGGACAGATTTTTAGTTGAGAATGAGGAAACTCGACGAGGCGCACTTTCATGTATTCATAAAATGAAGATATGTCTACGCTTTGTCGGTGACCCTGTATATCAACAAGGTATTGGTCAGGAACTTGGTGTTAGTCAAGCAACGGTATCTCGGACTGTGGGTAGAGTTGTGAACAACATAGTTGCACAGTCGAATGACTGGATCAAGTTTGCAACTACCAACCATGAACTGATGGAGGCCAAGCGGATATGGCAAAGCATGTATAAATGTTCGACAGCAATTGGTGTAATTGATTGTACACATATATGAATCCTGAAACCAAATCGCCATTGAGATGAGTATATCAACCGAAAAGGGAAAACTACTTTAAATGTGCATGCCACTTGTGATGCCAGAGAGATGTTCGCAAGTGTTGATGTCAGTTGGCCTGGATCAGTGCATGATTCCAGAATATGGAGAAATTCACAGACTAGATCACTAGATGACGGTTATGGTATTGAGCCATGCCTTATGACTCCCTTCAGAAATCCTACTCCAGGTGCAGAAATAAATTATAATAAACTTTTAAAACAAAAAAGAATTATAATCGCACGCTGTTTCGGCCAACTGAAATGCCGGTTTCCTATCATACAGTATGTTTGCCGCGTAAAATTAGAAAATGTGCCGAAAATAATTATTGCTTGTATTGTACTCCATAATGTTGCGAAGAGCTTGGGCGATCCAGACTTTGAGTTAGTTGAACAAGACCCAGATGAAGATGAAGGAAATCATGAGAATGACGAACAACTAGGTCAACAAATACGAAGAAACTTGAGTATTATAATAAAGAGTTTTACTGATTTAAAGTGTATTTATAAGTTATAATAAGTTTTATTTTCGTAAACATCATAAGTTACAGGTGGCTTCTGACGCTGCATCATTTCGAATTTCATTTTATAATACTTTTGTTGTAAAATACTTGTTTGGTACTGCTGTAATAGCACTAGACGTTGCAGTTCTTTTGTAGTTAACCCTTTGTTTTCCTCAGTTTCGTATTTCTCTGTAGCTAATTTTCTTTTTGGTCTTCTGAATTGCTGGCGATGTAATACTAACTGTTTGCTCACTGCGCTTGGTGTATAGTTCACTTAATTCTTCTTGAACACTACCAACTTGAATGGCACCTCTAATTTTCCCAATTGTAGGATTACAGTCACCTTTCATAGCTTTCATCAATTTTATATCCCAATCTAACAATTTAATTGCTTTATTACCAGTTTTTTAGTATCTAATGGTTTACCGAATGTTGATTCGTATTTTTTCAACATCTTCAAGGCATCGTCGTTTCTCATTTTTATTTTTGGAACTTATGGCTTTTGCAAAGTAACGGGAGCAATGGCAATTTCATCTACGATGAACTGCAGACCGTTGTCATTATTTTCTATAGTTTCCTCATCACTTGATTAATTTGATAAAAATCTGTATCCAGTAAAAATACGGAACGGTCTGTGTAAGCTCTGAAGTACAACTGTCAGTGATGCTGAGTGAACGAACTCCCACGTCAACTACAAGCTGGAACAAGTCAGGACATTTCGCTCAAGATACAAATACCAGTCAACCTTTCACTTCTCCTTGGAGGACATCCTCGCGAGTATAAGGTAATGATTATGAATATGAAAACAAGGATATGCTTACACTTCTAATGGGTGATTCAAATTGAGTTCCCACATTACAAATAATTTGTTTTTGGAAATGACAACGTGCCACTTCTAACGTCAAAATATAAACAACACAGTCTTGAAGCAATATCCGACCGAACAACGTGTTAAGATTATCCAAGCCTATAATGAAAACGGCCGATCGAGGAAGAATACATTTCGTGCTTTACGTGAATTTTTTGGCGCAAAAAATCGGCCTTATGAGAGGACAGTTTAGAATTTGGTGCAAAAATTCGAGCAAACTGGATCCGCAGCTAACTAGCTAACACCAAAACCCCTAGGCGTGCTTGTAGAGGTCGCTCCTAACACAACATTGCTATTGTTATCGAAAGTGTGGCCGAAAATAGAAGAACCTCGATTCGTCATCGATCGCAGCAACTGGACCTTACTTATTCCACTATACAGCTGATTTTAACACAATATTTGAAGTTACACCCATACAGAGTCCAAATAACACAGGAATTGAAGCCTAGGTCACACATCAGGAGAAACGATACAACTACTGCGCGGCAAGTTTCCAGGTCGCGTTACTTCACGTAACAGCGATATCAATTGGTCGCCGCGATCCTGTGATTTAACTCCCTTAGATTATTTTCTTTAGGGTATTTCAAGAGCAAAGTCTACAAGAATAACCCGAACACAATTGCGGAGCTGAAACAGGAGATCAGACGCGAAGTTACCAACATAGGACCTGATTTGTGCCACGGAGTAGTCGAAAATTTCTCGAAACGGATTACGTCATGGCACATGAGCCGCGGCGGTCATTAACTTGATATCATCTTTCAAGCATAATTGTAATGAACTGTCCTGATAGGACAAATGCATACTTTTTTATAATTTTTAATTTCTTCTTTTTTTAAATACTTTTAATGTGGAAACCCAATTTGAATCTCCCTATACCTTTTTCTCCGAAGCAAGACCTTATATTTTTACCTTATGCTTCCGAGGATATGCTTCTCTTTTATCAAGCTACGATGCTGGAGATACTCCGAAAGCTCACGCTTGATGTGCTTCACCATCACCTTGCTGATCACAGAATGCAAAGCTATAGGTCTATAGTTGTAAGAGTTAGACTTAGATCCTTTTTTTCTCTTATCTCTTATACTATAAATAAAGTCTGGTGCGTAGTCGGTGAATGATGTAACATTTGGTGCATTGGAAAGGATTCGTCTCTCAGGGGCACGTGTGGTGTCAATGATGTCGGGTAACCCCAGTTCATTAACTTCGCCTGATGAAATACCACGGTTTTACTAATTGAATGTCCATGTAGGGCATAATAGGATTCCTGTATCGAACTGACGCGAAAACTTAATTAAATTAATATTATCGACTGTGTTACCGGTGCTAGGACTGGTCCACAATCAAGAACGATTTCGTGTTTTGACCAGTGAAAGCGGATCGAAAGCAGAGGAATGATGTATGAGTTTAAATGCATACTTCTTAATTTTCTATTCATACTCCAGGATTTTAATGCCTAAATCTTGTAGCGTTTTTTTGCCAAACAATAAAAAAATTCTACATCTGCCTTGTAGTACAAACAACTCCTTCCTAAGTAGCTTAGGAATATAGAGCAAAGGTATGCGAGTGTCGGTAAACTGTATGTCATGTGGGTCAGGTGTGATCAGTGGCGCTGGGATAGACAAAAAAATACGGGAAAAGGAACCACACGCAGAACATTCTTGTCGCAATGAAGCCTTAGCCATTCCCATGCCCCAGCGCTCATCAATTATCACAAGATCATTCACTTTCAGCACTAATAAAGCCGCTGCCGGCGCTGTCACCTCCCACCTTCCGCTCTTAAATCTTCAGACGCCGGTTTTGATTTTTTTAATCTTATTTTCCTTGTGGACCTGCCCTTAGTGCGATGCCATGGATTGCTCTATGCCTTGGTCATGTACAGGGCGAAGAGGATTTAGAAAACCACATTTATTATTAGAACCATTTTCATCTGAAGCTTGTTGTTGTACAAGGGTTGCTCAAAATCACCTCCCATTTTCCGGCTAAGATACCCATAAACGTTTTTGAAAACATCACCCTATTGGCTCATACCTTAGATTTTCTACATTTTCAACTGAAGTGGCGTAAATTAATAGTTTAAGATCGCTCCATATCTAATAATATATATAATCTAAGGCGTTTGAGCCCGGAGATCGAGCAACCTTTAAGAGTAACTTTACTGATGTAGTTGGGGGTAACTGGACAAGAATTGATCCTAGGATATCAGAAAAAATTGGCAGCCTCACTCCTTACTAGAGGTAGTGACCTTGTAGGTTTTTTCTAAATCCCTCGTGTGTTTTTTCTTGGTGTGAACATGCATATTTTGACTTTAGCCAATGTTTCATCAGCGCACCTGGAGCATAATAATAGGCACCTGTCGTGGCTTCCAAGTAATAGCACCATTGATTAGTTAACGTATAATAAATGTAAGAAATAGCATGGGACCATAGTTTGTTTGAAAACTTTTTATTCATCAGAAAAGAATGATATAACGTGTTTTTTGGGATTTAGTTAATAGTGTATGCATGAACGAAAACATTTTTCAAGCAGGATTTTTAGGTGCTTAAGAGACATACAAAATGAGACCGCACGTAAAAAGATTAGATGCAAAGCAGAAAAAGTTATGACCAAAAAAGCCTCGCCAATATACAGGTTATTGCACTTGTTGGTAACACGGTGCTAGTGTCACTCAGATACTTGAAATTCTTTAGACCTGCACTTTTAAACAACCGCAACTAAATTGCCGATCGGTCAAGTAGCTTTCGAGATTTTCTGTTTATCCCAAAACACCGGGTTATGGTGCAATATGCATTTTTAGTTTGCGTGATAACTTGTCAAACAATTCAGCATTCCAGTATGAAATTATGCTTGTAATACATTCTACAACTCATCGTTGACCGTCTAAATTTCACCTCTAAATAAACAAGAGTATTTGCTTTTTGCCTAAAAATAAAATTTAGCTTGCAAAATGGTTTTTGATTCATATCGATGAAGTAAATTCTTCATAACCTGGTGATTTTGGCTGGAAAACATTTGTTTTTGGACAAATAATTAAAGATTCTGAAAAAACTACTTGGTCGACTTTGTTGTTGATATTCAGATGAGGCCCACGAATCTGACGAATTTTAGGTATCTACTAACTGTATTGAATGTCATCGGTTCTTTTCCTTCCTAAGCGACTGCCCGGAAGTATTGTAATTGCGAAAAATTTGGAAAATGTCATGAAAAACAATGTCATTCATTTCCGTCTGTCTGTCTGTCTTTCGACATGTATTTCCGCGGTCTGCACCGCTCGGGGCTTAATTAAATTTTTACACCAAAAAGCTTGTAGTTTTTCGAAATCGGTTCTCTGGTGGCGAAAACCTAAAAAAATACTCAATCTTCGTTTCGGATGCTCCTTATCCTTTTCAGAGAGAAATTTGGAGAGATTTAAAATTTACGGTTAATGGTGGGATTATACCTCATTTTTTTCTGCAGTGCTGTATATACGATGACAACGTCGGTGATTCGACGCACCTATTAGACATATTTCACATGTCATAGATTTCCCACTACATTTGTTCTTAAAACTTGGACATAACTTCGACATGCGTTTCTCTCTGGATTGACCGGCGTCTCTGCATTCCCAATTAATGTCACTCGGTCACTACAACGGTTCCGAGCTAAGTGAATTATCCAGCGGCGAGGAAAGCATGGGGATGGCGATGTTGCGAACTGAACGGTACTATCAGTAGGACAGGGACAAGATGTCTATGAACTAATTATATGGGGCTGTTTGACTGACCAAGGGCCGATTTTACCAACATTAATATTACGGACCAATGGGAAAATACCTTATCGAAATGCAATTTGACAGAAGCTGTCAAAGGTCTCTGGATATTAGTGATTTCTATTGAAATATTGAATAAAATCGTGAAGATTCGACTGTATTATAAACAAGACCACTTTTTGATTCCAACATGATGCTTTTGAACAGAAAAAACAGGACAACTTTCATGTATTTTGATATATGTTATAGGTTTACATTTAACAATCCGTTATCCCCCTCAGCGAATGGGCAAATAATAGGTCGATTTTCTAGCTGTTAAATTTGGCAGCAGATTTGGACGTTTGTTAATGCATGGCACTCTCGAATTTACCAACTTCAATATACTGAAAGTTATCATTACATACCTGTTAAATAGTGT